AGAACATGCTGACCGATCGCTACCCTTCTCCTGCTACGCTCCTGCGTGAGCGATCCGTCGTCCCACGTGCCACGTCTTGATGTCGTTGATCTGTGTCTCTCCCTTGTTCAATTGTTGTTGTTCTTGGCCCCCTCTTCCCCGGCGGGCAGAACTGGAACCAGGAGGGGACCGGTCTCACCATCTCCCGGGACGAGCAGGTCACATACAACAAATGGTTCGCGGAGACGGTGAGTTGACCATACAAAAAAGCACGAGTTGATTTCATGTCGAGACTCTACGTCCTACCTGCCTTTTTTTTTTTTTTTTGGTCTTCACTTCAAATCAGCGCTCACAGCACTAGTGCCGCTTACTCCAACCCGTGGTCACACAGAAGAGCCCCTCTCTACCCTCCCCTCCTGCGGTACTTTGCCTTCGATTTTAATGCGAGAAGAGTTCAGCACTCTCTTCCCTCTGTGTACACACGAACTAGCGCTATCCACTAGACCAGGAGCGGAAGCGAGAGAAAAAATCACTTTGCAAGAAAAGCTCGCTTACGCCGGGATTCGAACCCCTGACCTGACCTCTAGAAGGTTTCGCGGATACCAACTAAACCACCGGGGCGACCGGTAATACATGCCTTAGTCCATGCTCGATGAGGAAACAAGAGAAACTCAGCCCCGACTAAAGTGGGCCATTGATTGTAACAGCGCGCAGGTACTGCATGCGGTCTGACAACATAGAGTCGTCATTGGAAAGCTGTAACTCTTGCACTTTTTTCCGATTTCGTTCGTTGTTCTAGGTTCGAGAGCACGGCATGCATGTGGGCATGAAAAACGCGATCGAGCTTCTTGGAGATCTGAGCGACTACTACGACTTCGGCATCAACGAGTCGTGCCACGTGTGGAACGAATGCGGCGTGAGTACGAACCAGATTTGTTGTGGTCGTTGATAATTATTTCTTTCCGAACGGCGTGCGTGCCGTACTGTACGCATGTGTCCTGTTTTTTTTACGTTCTCGCGTTACTATTTTAATTTCTTGCTGCCTTGGGTCAATCCTGCCTTTTTTTTAGATGAAAGGCAAAGGAAGACTGGTAGAACGAAAACAATGGTTGGAGATGGGCCGTCTTAAGAACTGAGAGCCCACACAAAACAACCCAGGAACACTCGTATACCGACGACTTCCGTGCCCACGCCCGTAGATGTGGATACAGCAGTAAGTCTGTTCGATCTGTGCGCGCACAGGTTTTTTCCTGACAAGTGCGTAGAGAAGCGTGCGGGGTAGTCTCTGATTCGATTACCTGTTTCCACCTGCCCCTTCCTCACGGTTGGACTGGCGCGCAAATCAACCACTCGCCTATGCCGTGTGCAACTCGACTGTTCGACTGATGATGGTGTGTCTGACTGGCCATTCGACAGGCATATAAGATCCCGTTCCTGGACAAGGACAAGCCCGTCTTCAACGTCGAGTGAGTGTCAAGTCGAGATATTTGCGTTGTTTCCCCCCTCCACTCCACTCCACACCTCGCCCCTTCCGTTCATGGCATGTGCTATCCTCTCCATGGCCACGGAAGGGTGTCGCCGCTCGTCCCTGAACGATCAGTGCGGAGTCTTTACCTCGACCAAGAGGCACAAACGTATCTGTGAAATAAACGACAAAAAACACGATCACCACCACCAACAATAATACCGAATGTCGTAGTAACGTATCACTTGTTACCGGGTGTTCGAACAAACCATCCCCACCGGAGAAGCCGTAGAGTCGTCGACCGTCCCCCGTTCGTGATTTTATATCCTATCCCCTGTTCGTGGTCTCGTTTTTCTCCCCGCCCCCTTCTCCCCTCCCGATCGTAGGTACGACGCGGATTACGGCATCTGCGACGAGGCCAACGAAGAGCGCCTGGACACGATCTTCAAGGAATACGACTTGAACGCTGCCATGTGCAGCTGTGCCGATTCCTCGAGGGATGTCGACTGCTCTGATGTCACCCGTTGAAACCAAGATCAACAGCACACAACAGAAGAAAAAAGTAGCTTCAATCAAGAGTCGGCACGGTTGTGTAGGCAGGCATCAACAAGAACTAGGAGCGGATCAACCAATCTAGGCTGTGCTTGTCCTTCTCTGGGTTGTGGACCAGATTTCCTGCGCCGTTTACTAGTAATCCTGGCGATGACTTCCGGCTTGGCGAATCCGCATGGTCATTATAGTTGTTTCGGCTCGTCGGAAGGTAGGGCACCTCTTTCTGTCGGCCGCTCCTGTATCGTTGTCCGCTCTTTCTTGTTTAGTTTCCTACCTTTTTTGGGGGTATTCATCGTGTTCCTTTACAAAGGAATACAGTGTGTTAGCTTTTCTGGGTCTGACAAGAGAGCACCATGAACTTTGAAAAATAGATGATTTGACCGGAGTTGTGGTGGGTATTACCCTTTGCATCCAGTAACCTGCTGAGATAGATACTGCGGTGGGTGTCCCTAATGAACGGTTCGTTTGGTGAATGAATACGCCTCATTCCCGTCGGGGATTATGAGGTGTGCGGTGTGTTCAAATTTCCATTGTGTACGCGAGGGTTAGGCTCCCTTGCACCGAAGGGTTGGATGGACAACAACCTCAACATCATCTTGAAGAATGAGGTGTTGGCTTTGTGGAACGATTCATTTCGTGTAGCCTCTGAGGTACCGTTCGTTGTCTTCTCCCGTCAGGAACATTTTTATTGTACAACGTGTTGTGGTCCGCATGCTGCTTTGTAGACGAAACCCGAAGATCGTTTTGTTGCCACGCCTGCCTTCGTTTTACATGTCTTACGTATCCGTCGTGTCTGTCCGTAGTTTGTTGTGGGAAGAGCCCGCCCCCGTTGAATGTCCCCAGGTGTTTCGTTCGGTGTCATCAATCTGTATTCGTTGGGCGTACCCTTTCAGTCTCGTGCCTCTTGTCGCACTGCAAGGACAGCTTGCGTGCGTATGTTGAGTCAAGAGGTGTATTCTAATGCGGTTATTCGTTCCTTTTCCAATTTCTCGTACAGATATCGACACTACACTTCGCCTTACTACGGGGCCTGTGTGTAATGACCGCTCTCCAGTTGGCGTGGTGATAAACGATGATGCCATTCTATCTCCTTCAATGAGTCAACCCCACTCTCTCTGTTCAAGCAGAGTTCATGCGACTAGCCGCATATCCACACGAACACCCTCAGGTTGAGGCACGTTGCGCTAGATTCAAATGACCGCCAATCAGCCAGCCGGCTTGAACCTACAATACGTCACGAAGTCTTTGAACCTACACTTGTTACAAATCGATCCAAAATAATGCTCCTAAAGCCGCTCTAAAGAGCGCTCCTAAAATGACGCCAGTAGGCCATACCCAAGCGGCAGGGCAGCCCTTTAACACCACACGAAGCAGGCTTTCCCGAGCCGGGACCGTTGTTCCATTACGCAAGCACATTGGCGTTACACACCTACAATCTGCGATCCTGTGTCATGTATACCGGATATTGTAGTCTTAGTCTTCCAACCGACCTGTGATTGATCAACTTGAATGTGTTTCGGCGTCCACCTGTGTGGGCCGGCGACGGAGGACATACAGTTCGCCAGTATGTGCTACCCACTCAGCACTAACTGATACCGACTCAGTGCAGTTGTCGTACACCTACCCAAGGGCGCTGTCTGCATGTTGTACCGCCGCACGCACCGACCGCTGCCCAGCGTAACACTGTGAGAGCCGGTCCAAAAAAATCGAAAGAGGCGTTTCGGCAGACACCCTCAGGCAACGCACACCAGGCCGCGCGCGAGAAGAGCGGGGGGTACGACCAGAGACACCCAGGAGACGGCACGATGGAAGAACCAGCTACCGACCCTCAAGCCCAAGTCTCTAGAGGCGATCGTGATCCGGAGAAGGGGCCGGAGAGCGCCGATGACAACGAACAGGTGGACGCTCGGCAGCCTTTGAACTATAAACCGCTCAGCCACAGGAAGCTGAAAGACTACAACGAGGGCCTGGCCAAGCGGGGGGTGGTGTACCTGAGCCGCGTTCCGCCCTTCATGAAGCCCGCCAAGGTTAAGCATCTCATGGAGCAGCATGGCGTCGTGACACGGGTGAGTCAACCAAGGTTAGGTTTTCATTGGGGCAATTTTGCCTGTGTGTCATAGGTGACGTAATATAAACACCCCCTGGACTGACAGTTGATACTGTAGCAAGTCCGAGACGTAGCATAGGTTTTCGCAAAGCTCTCCACAAGATGTTTCAACGCCGAAATTGTCGGCACCGCCACTCTCCTCTGCTGCGGAGTAATCGGGCGGTGAAAATCGGTCCGGGGGTGTGATATCTCACGTCACCTAGGTAGTAGGCAAACAGCAAACAGCAGTACACCAACAATCGAGCATTTCAGCCACACACGAGAGGCTGCTGTAGCGGGTGCCGCAACCAAACAAACAGGACTTGCATGGCCACTGCAGGCACAGGTCATGGACAAGTCCGGCATGGCGCACCCTGATTTGTGTGCATCTCGCGAACAATTTGCTTGGCCTTGCTCGCCCACCCGGCTCTTCTTGTTTATTGAACCACTACAAAAAGAGTACTACAATACATGAAGTGGTACTTGGCGTGTCCACCGCCTGATGCCCTTATCCTGCCGGGGATGAATCAGGTATACCTTGTGGAGGAGGATCAGGCCAATCGCCGCGCCAGAAAAAAGGCCGGCGGGAACTCTGGGAAGCGTTATACCGAAGGCTGGGTAGAGTTCGAGGACAAGAAAATTGCACGAGGTCAGTCTTTTTCCAGCGCTGAGAAATTGCTATTTACTGTATGAAGGGCCACAAGCCAGTACCGGCCCGCTCGTAGGAGCCACCTACACAATATTGAGTAAGGCTCAAAGAAAGCCTTGCCAACTATCGAACACAAGATTTTGCTGAGCTTGCAGAAAGGATTCAGCGTCCTGCCGGCGGCTGAACCCAATCTCTTACGCCATTTTTCTTATTTCTCCGGAAACCCTGAGCCTCGAATTCTTGTGAATATGTCTTGTACCTCCTTGGTACGAGCGGACCGGCACTCGGGACTGTTGTGCGTGTACACTATTTCACTAGCTTATAGTATATAGTCTATGACAGAACAGCGTACGTAGGTTGTGCTGCACAGCAGTAAGCAGAGGCCAGCGCCTTTGTATCCATTGACACGCGGGTGTTGGTTCGGGTCTAGCTTCTTTTTGGGGAAAACGACACAACAGGGTATACCCTGCTCGAAAAGCGACACACCTGGGTACACAGTCATTAACAGCAGTGAATGCACTCATATCATTGGTCAGCGCCCAATTTCACCCTGTTGCGTCCGAAAAGGCGCAGGGTATACCCTGCCGTGACTACTTTTCTCAACAACTGTACCCTGTTTTCGGAAATGTACCCTGACCTGACGGGAAATGAGACCCTTTCATCAATCATTTCCCCCGCAGGAATCTTCCCAACTCCTTTTCCCCTCCAACCATGGGATACCAAACGGCGAATCTTTGCGCCGAAAAACAACCATGGCAACGGGGCAGGAATCAGTTTCCGTCCCTGCGAAACAACACCAACCATCAACTCTTCCGCTCTAAATCAACAATGGCCGGGCAATACCCCAGCACAAATGTTTCGTTTCGTGGAAACATGGACACACGCGTACAATACCCCGTGGACTACTGCTTTCTTCAGTCTATAATGCGAGATGCACGGGTCACGTTATGAAAGCAAGACCGATCCAGCATGGTTGACGTGCATATATATGCACGTGTGCGTGCGTGTGTTGTCTGTTGTGTCTCAATTGCGATGTGTTTCTTGCTTGAACTACTGCTGTAGCAGCAGCGGTCACGCTTATCAGCCAACCAAGCCGACCAATCAATCAATGTAGAAAGAAGACGTCAGGCTTCAGCGGGATGAGCCGATGAAATACAACGCGAGCACTCTTTCTGCTCTCTACCGACAGGGATGGTGATTGAGTTGGACGACACAACAGTGTCCTGCTGCTATAGAGTAAGGATAAGACTCGTGTGTGCGTGATTGATGTCAAGGGGGTGTCTGTGTGTACTGGTCCTGCCTTTCCCCTCCACCCTATCTGCGGGCGCGAGCTCGGCGCCAGCACAGGGCCACACATTGGCACATACATGCATATATTGCATGTCAACCATGCTGGATCGGTCTCGCTTTCATAACGTGACCCGTGCATCTCGCATTATAGACTGAAGAAAGCAGTAGTCCACGGGGTATTGTACGCGTGTGTCCATGTTTCCACGAAACGAAACATTTGTGCTGGGGTATTGCCCGGCCATTGTTGATTTAGAGCGGAAGAGTTGATGGTTGGTGTTGTTTCGCAGGGACGGAAACTGATTCCTGCCCCGTTGCCATGGTTGTTTTTCGGCGCAAAGATTCGCCGTTTGGTATCCCATGGTTGGAGGGGAAAAGGAGTTGGGAAGATTCCTGCGGGGGAAATGATTGATGAAAGGGTCTCATTTCCCGTCAGGTCAGGGTACATTTCCGAAAACAGGGTACAGTTGTTGAGAAAAATAGTCACGGCAGGGTATACCCTGCGCCTTTTCGGACGCACCGGGGTGAAATTGGGCGCTGACCAATGATATGAGTGCATTCACTGCTGTTTATGACTGTGTACCCAGGTGTGTCGCTTTTCGAGCAGGGTATACCCTGTTGTGTCGTTTTCCCTTCTTTTTTTATTCGGATACGCTGGAGACACTGCGGAGAGAGAGAGAAGTGCAGCAAAAGAGAAACTGCTGTACTTGTGTACATGCAACAGCTATCTCCACCTATAGATACTGAGGGCTGCCCGCGACAGGGTGGTGGCCACAGACAGGGTCGTACAACGGTTGATGAGTGGTAGCTGTGCGGCTGATAGGGCAGGTTAGACTTGTAGGCCTTGAAATGATCAGTCGTCGAGCTGCCAAAACTGCTCTATTTTCAGTATGATAAAATGATCGATGCAAATGATCTATGAGGGCTTGTAGACCAACAAGCCGCTATCTGCACTTCCGGGTCACTAGAGGTCCTGTGTTATTCCCACAAGCACACAAGCACAACAGCACACACCTACCTTCTCATGAACGTTTCCCTAGGTTTGGGCGAGGATATGTATGTGTGGAGCTATGATGGTAGTGTACATACGTGTTGCTATTTTGTTGGACTCGTCTATACTGCTGCTGTGTAGTGTAGCTGCTGACGATGACTGCTGGATCTTGGGAGTGTAAGATTGTCAAGTTTCAAATTTCGACATGCAGCATACCAGGATATCCTGGCTTGGCTGGGCTTGATATGCCCCTTTTGCTGCCCTCCGCTTTTTTCATTTCAGTGGCTTCATAAATTTGGGTGAGGGCATGTATGTGGAGCTATGATGTACCATATGTCTCTGTGAAAGGATATTTTGTTACATAGAGAGATGCACTGTTAGGGGTGCTAATCCGGCCTTGTATGCGCGTAAAAATGTGTCCGGTCTTCGAAAATTTCTGCCTCCTGAAAAAAAAAAGGAGTCCTTCTGACGACGCCGAACATCAAACTACTTGATTTTAGACCGCTTTCATGTTCATTGTTGGGACAGAAGTCCTTGCGCCCAGGGACATGTTGGGCCTTCACACTCTACACACACCTGTGTAGGGGCAGTGACCAGAATACCATAAGCTCCGATTTTCATTTTGATAAAGAGGGAGCCGCTAAAGAGCAAAAAAACTCCGACTTTGACACTTTTTTCTCCGTATCCTTTCCTCTCGGTGGAGTAGCTGCGACACGCGAAAATCGGAGCTTAGTGCACTGCCTTGCGAGTCAGAGCCGACAGCACAGAAGGAAGAAGTTCAATCGCGCACGCCTTTGGGGAGGAATAGTGCCTCAAAAATGGCCACTTTTGCCCGAAATCTGGCTGAACGGTCCGTCCGCTGGGCACGGACGAGCGGAAAACCCCCCCCATATTTTTTGGTTGCGAAGGCAACACAACAGCATTCGGCATGCGGGAGTTAGAGGTTCTGCTGCCGCGACCCCCGTACGCGGTGACAGCTGGGTGTGCGTTTGCTACTCCCCAGCGATTCGTGCGACTGCTGAACTAGAGATGGGCGTGTGTGGAGTGTAGCAAAACAGAGGAAAGCGAGCACCTGGTTGCTGAAAGTCCGATTTTTTTCTTCAACTGAACTGCTGGCTGTTCCATTGCTCAGCTACATCCTCGCAGATGCTGCTGTTGGGATACAGCGAAGAGAGACATAGATCGCTAGCACCCCCGCGCACGCACGAAGAACAAGTCTGTTTCGAGCTCGTGGTATTTTCATCGTCTAGTGTGATCAGTAAAGCAGCAGGTGGTAGAGCAAAGTTGGTATACAGCAGCAAGAAGACATGAAAAAAATGTCGAAAGGGCCAAAAGTCCGAAAAAAAAAGGCTCGCGGCACACTGTCGCTGTGTGTGCCGATCTCGCTTGCTTGACCTACGAGGCTAGACATCCTACCACAGGGTCAGGGACCACTAGATCCCGGCCTCCTTTCCAGGGGTACGGTGGCGGCAAGCAATGCCAAGCAGTGTCTCCTCTGTTTTCCGCAGCAGCATTTGTGATGACAGACAACGTTTTCAGTCCGGATGCAACGGATTCTTTTTTGACCACAGACGCACCGATCGCAGCATTAGCAGCAGCAACAACACAAGTCTCAGCCTCCAAGGGCCAAGCAAACTGACTGCTTTGATGGCATGGCGCTCGTCACGTGTGTCTGTGGGATTCGTTCGCCACCGCTTGTTGCGTGGTATCACTGAGGCATATATATATATATACAAGGCTTTCGGCGGCTTACGCCGCCACGCTGAGAGAAGCGTACCGCAAGACGCATGTTTCTTGGCGTCTGGTAAACGATGGTATGCGGTGGCTGTGAGATTCCCAGCAATTTGTTCCCGCAGTATGCAGATGTGAGAAATGATGTACCACATAGGGCGAAGTCACACACTGAACGTGCGTTGTGAGCAGTAGTGAGCAGAAACACGTTCTTAAGCATACGACACGACACGGCTTAACAACTAAGTCACACGGTGCACACTAAGGCAACGGTAAAATAACCAGACAGCAGGTGAAGGATATGTTCATTGATTGTGTCTATGGTGTCATTGGTAGAGGACAGTATTGCTCTCGACTTGAACGTGCTGGGGTCTGCATGTAGAATATCGGGGTAGACGAAGTTGATCAATTCTTCGAATGATTCCGTATTCTCAATGACAAACGGATCAGGTGGCATTGCTGGGATGTCATGAATGTATGCTAATGGCACGGCATCAATTCCGTCGTCGGTTGTGGTGTGTGGCTGGGCTCCGATACCAATATTGCGTACAAAGGCGGCGTAGGGAGCATCTTCGCGATCACGTTGGGAAATGGTCAGGCGCATTCTATGGACATACGGCCACAGTGGGCTTGAAATCACTCTGTGTGTGTAGGGAAATCTCTCTCCGGTATCTCAACGACGGTACTCGGCTCTACCGGTCTTGCCCACAGCGGCTACGTCACGCCATGGTTGGGGATAGTTTTTGCCGCACATCTTAACTCCAGGCCGTTTTCGATCTTCCTTCATGCACGGTGATGTGGGGTTGTGACTGCCACACTGTTTATGTACCATGAGGTTCAGCACTTGATCTCTTGATCTACCATTGTTGAGCTCTGGCGGCGGCACTTCCGCCCAACACCATTCATTCGTCCATTTCTCCCATCTGATCGGGCAAAGGTCCCTCAAAGCGCACTACTAAATGCATATGGGGCATGCCCCTCTTCTGGAACTCTACGCAGCTCATCTCAAAGTCAATCGGTCCAAAAATCTTGCCACTCCTGAGGTCTTTCATGAGTTCAGCCATTTTAATTTTGAAGACACGGTCGCATAAGTCTGGCCTGTCGTACGCTGTTTGACCGGGTAACAGATTAGCTTGAATTGCTTCCCAGTTACCATTGCATGTCATGGTGAGCATGGCACTAGGGCGTCCCTTACGTGATACAATAGCTAAGGCGTCGGTTGTGTTTGCTTTCATTTTGGCTGGATGCCCGTGAAAGGTTTTCGGGAGCGTTTTACCTATCTGAGCTTCCTGGGGGGCGTCCTCTAAAGTTTTTTACGTGGTGGCACGTTTCTGGCCTTCAGCTGAGGACAGGTATTGAAGGCTTTGTTCTTCTTGACGTGAGTACATGTCGCAGAGGTACTGCTGCGTAACTCTACTAAATAGGTGAAAAGTGGGCTCGGAAAGTACTCTTTGTCGCACGTAGTGAGCGATAGGAACTTTGTGACCGGATGGTCCGACGGTTTCGCCGGCGACGCGTCTTTCGTCGCGTAGCCACGTTCCCTTTGACCACCCTGATGTGCCAGAGAAAAACAGCAAGGGATAACCGAGAGGCTCGTAACTGGCAGAGAATATAGGTACAAACCGTGGTCTTCCCGAGTCACCGTTACGGGGGAATGTGTATACTAGTCGGAAAAGTTGTGCCGTCGTGTCTTATTGGAATATGCATGCTGCGATCTCCGACGTCGTGGGCAGATCACCCAAAATAGGGCCATGTGTCGTCCGATCTACAGGTCCAAAGCAAATCTGTGCGTCGTGGATCTCATGGTCATTTCTGACGATTTCGTCTACGGCGCTCTGGTAAGTATTTAACCCACGAGTTGTGTTGACTGAGAAGGTTTCGGACGGAGTCGACGATATTAGGATCGATGCCGAGGCTTTCGCCGTGCGCTCTGTGCTCGTCGTCGTAGACATAAAATCTCGCGTTATTTGATGGTTGACGTTGTTCTCCTGTGTATAGGTTTTCGGCATCAAATATTCGGCGATATGCCTTGCCACACATCGTGAGCATTGACGGCGGAGACGGCGTTCCTTCCCAACACCCTTTCTGACTTGCCCCTAGAGCCGTAAAAGAAAACAGACTATTTAATCGCCGTTGGTGTTGGATTACGTTGGGGTGATTGAACAACTCTCTGGCAGCGTCTGGTAACGGAGGCAAGTTGGCGACGGAGAATTTACCGTTGCTGCAACAGTTGATAACTTCTTCTTTCCATAGCTTGGCTCCACAATGTTGACAGACGATGTTGTTGGGATCAGAGAGGAGCGGATACTGAAATTTGTGCTCTTCGGGGAGCGAAATACTGTTGTCACCAAAGGCGATGACGCCAACCCGTGGATTGTTTTGCCTACGACGTTGAACGATGAAACGACGTAGCGCTGTTCTTCTCGTTCTTGCTCTGGGTTGCAGTAGACGATGACGACGCATTGCACTTGATTGTTGTTGAGTGATGGTCCCTGCGGACGCGGCCAGCCGAATTGCGGCTACTATAGAAGTAGATAAGTGTCCTGAGAAATTAGTGCTATTAATCTCAGCCTTGAACGGAGACTATATTTGTGTTCCGAGACGAAGAGGCAGACAGAATGCTGGGCGTGCAGAAATGAGGTGCTGCAGACAGACGGAGAGCGCAGAGAACGAACCGAGAGCAGACAGAGTGCTGGTGCTGGTCTGCAGAGGGAATGAGGCAGACGGAGAGCGAAGAGTCTGCAGAGGGAATGAGGCAGACGGAGAGCGAAGAGAAACCCGAGAGCAGACAGAGTGCTCCACACGTGATCGAGAAAAGGCGGAGCGGCGGCGGAGCGGAAACATGCCCAGAAGCGGAAAGACAGAATGAACTCTAAATCCAAGTGAAAAATGGTGGGAGAAATGCTGGTCTGTCTGTCAGGGCTCGAGAAAACCGATCTTTGAACGGAGAGCGGCCCGCTGGAAATGCGAAATACTCGAAAGTTACGCCGAACACAAATGATAGAACTGTTATGTGTGGTGTGTGCTTCTCTCTCTCGCTGACGTCCGTTTCGCGGTGCCCAAGGACCGGTTCTCGAGATTTGGTTGGCTCGATCACCTTTCCATCTGGAAGATCCGGGACACATTTGAAAAAAAATTCCTTGATGTTTGTTGGGCCATTAACACCCCTAACTGTGACATTCGCATTCAGCGCAGTGTGCATTTTCCGAATTTTGGTACCGTGCCAGGAACCTTGATTTTCCCGCTGGCACTGACGCCTTTTCATTGGTCACCGGTGAGCTCAGTCGATGCTAATAGTAATGACACACCTATCTACTTGCCAACACCTGGCGCGGAAGGAGACAGGGCGGCAACTCCATGGCATGCCAACACACCAGCATATGCGAATGATACGTCAATGATCTATCAGTAAGCCTGAACACCCAAAAAGGTTAAACGTTTATCTCTTTTGCCTCCTGTTTGCCGTGTCGGTATACTCTGTCGCCGAAAAGAAGTGAGGATGAATATGTCAAGTGCCTCTGAAGTGGTTGGGACATTTCCTGAGCCAGTCTTCATGTTTTCCCAGCATTTTCGCGACCGTGTTGATTCCCATACAGTGTGGGACAAGACACTGACATCACCTCCCGCGGCTGGTGAGGCTACCCTCGCCATACTTGACTCAAGAAAACTCCTTCCAATCCTGATTTTGAGCTTTTTTCCCATACTATTTTTTCCTTTGTTCTTCCCTACCCTGGAAGTAAAAGTCATTACCGACTCACCCTGACGGGTTTGCTGGGTACCTGTTGAGCTGGAAACGATATCAATGTCCACGTACTGCTGTCGAGTGTAAGTTTCAACCAGGTGTGAAAACACGTTTCTTTCTCCAGCCTTCCGTATGTCGTTCGCCGCTCACGTGCCTGCTGCACACGTGCACGCGACTATCCAACAGTACTACAATGCGTTCCGCTACCCACCCGTTTTCTGTCCCTGTGCACGTTATTACGCGAATCCGGCTTCAAACTCTCGGCACACGGTCGGTATGCCTACGTGCGTCCCCCCGGTTCAATTCGAACGAAAGTACCATATTGACGAGGCAATTTGTTTTCGCTCGATACACTCTTGTGCTACATATATTGCACATGACGGGGCGGTGTACTTGCCCCACGCTGTCCTCGAACCATCGCGGCCTGCTGCAACGGGAATACCAATAGCGAGTCCCAACCCCACGGAGGTGATTCGCCCGTTCCAATGCCCCCCCCCCCCCCCCCCCCCCCTGCTCCCCATGTGTGTTTTTT